AAAATAAAGAATGAAGAAAATCTATTGGTAGGATTTTCGTGCCTCTGACAAGAAAAATTACCTAAATACGGATGAACAAATGCGCAAATTATATCCTTCCAAGTGGTATCACCATACACATCCAAATAGTAAACATTGTTATATTTTAAGAACATTTCTGGCACAGAAATGAGGAAGAACTTGAAAACAAACCACAAAGCGGAGAAGAAAGTTTTTAGCAATTATTTTTTCGCTTGTTTTGTAAAAAACTTATTCTCAGGATTTCTTCGGTGGAGACTTCGTGTTAGCATGCCAGAAATATCCACCTTATTATTCCCTATTTGGAAAGTTTGGTTTTGTTTTTCGCTCGCGTTCTATGTCTTGCTCATGTTACTTCTTAAAACTTCTAAACGCCGATGTGAAGTAGGTTCGCAACTTGAATGAAAAAGAACGGCGAGCACAAACCTCCCCTTTGAATTTTCAACTCCGTAATTTATTCTCGTGGTTATGTTCTTACGTTATTTCCGAAATTGTGTCCTGGACTTTGTAGCCCCACTTGCTTTTTTATATAAGCAGTTAGATTACTTATACAAAATTTTATTTCAAGAATAATTTAAGTTCCTGTCACGTTCTACATTTACATACTGCCACCTTTAAAACTTTCACTTCAGACTAAATTCTATTCAGTTTAAATGTTTTAAAAAAATATGATATGCCCTACCCGGTTTTCTAACAACTTCACTCTCTTATTAAGTATGTTCATGAGACGATTTGTTTCGAAACAAACATAGATAATTGCATTCATTTTTTTCTTGGGTGAATAATATAACGTGCTAAATCAATTCGTTGAGACAAAGCTTCTGTATGGTGTCTAAAGTTGCACTGTAGTTGCTGCACCAGTTAAAGGGAAGAGTGTAACACCACTGGTGAGTTTTAGGGATGTGACGTCAATGTCGAAGTTTACAAAACATCGAATTTTTTAAACTTCGATATATTGAACATAATGTTTTTATCATCGATATATTGTGCTCGATGGTTTTTTCGTTTTCAGTATTTTGTTCTTGGGTGAAATATTTAAAAAAATTTACAGTTTTGTAAAAGTTGAAATATGTTTTATAACTGATGGCGCCACTTTCTCTTTATGCGGTCGAATCAAACAAACACTATACTACTTTCATCTAGCACGCTATTATTCGCTCTAGACGATTCTGTTGTTCATGTATTTTTTCGTCTTTCATCGTATTTTGCACATATATATTATATATATTATGGTATTTATAACTTTATCTTTAGTTAAATTTTAATTATGAATTAATGTTCGCGGCCATTGTAAAATAAATTTTGTTGCACACGATTTAATGTTGGAGGTTACTAAATCAGTTTTAAAACATCGAAGTTTAGAAACATCGATGCTTTTTGCGGATATATTACCATTGATGTTTGTCAACATTAATGCTTTGTTGATGTTGCATCACTAGTGATTGTGACGCAATGTTGTTAAGCCTGTGTTCAGTTTTCCTACTCACACTACATTTCTACCCTTAGCCATATGATGCATCAGAGACAAATTTGAGGGAAATTATTATATTCATCTCACTTTTATTTTTTAGAGCAGACATAATAACTGTGTGTTACATTAACAATTAAAATACATTTTTTAATATGACGCGAAACATGAATATACATGAAAAAACTTTTGAATGCAAGTTTAGTTTTTATTGTCTCTTCAATCTTTTTTTAATGACTGAGTTTTAATGAATGAAATATAAATTAATACTTTGCTTGTTTACCCCATCAGTATTAGATGTGCAAATTGTCAGAAGTACACTTAAATTGCATTTCCTTATGAGCACTTAACTCCCATAGTCAGTGGTACTACCAGAATTCTTCTAAGGTGTGTGTGTGGGGGGGGGGGGGAAGAGAAGTTAGGGGTTATATGTGTTGTGTCCAACCGACTTGATCTTTTCTCACAAGTTTTTCACACTTTGTGTACAAGGTTTTATTGCTCTATAGGGTCATACTTTGGACATTCCATGTAGCCAATTTAAAAATAGCTTCTATTGCAAACAGTTCATTAATTTTCCTGTTTACAGTTGCTTTATGATCAGTTCGTCATATTCTATAGCTAACGGTGATATTTATATGCGGCTTCTCCCTTACTACTTTTTTCTGTCTGTTTTTACAAACACATTCCTTTATTAATTCCAACACGCTCCCGTTTAAACTTGCTTCATTGCATCAATAACTCCAATGAATAGGACTATGTGCGTCGTGTTCCAGACGGAAAGACTGGTCGCTTCGAGCGTATGGAGACAAATAGCAACATTGAAAGTATTATAGTGGATTTTTATAGTGGGTATAGGTGTTTTCAACTTGTGAACATGTTGTGATCACATCATTTAAGTCTTTATCAGTGATTATGTCGGATTTTTGTCCGCGTCAAATGCTATAGTCTTTTGTTCCGTAAGAGTAGTGCATGTTTTATTCCGGGAGGTGGCGATGTTCTTCACCTGCCAGATGGTGAGCTACACGTAGGCTTGCCGGGCTTTTCCATGTAGCCCAACCACGTAGTCCATATTTCCCAACAGCGGGCCACCGCTCCAGCCGGGATAAGCTCCAAACAACCCGTCACGTCTCCCGGCATGTGTGGTAGAGGAGTGCATGCAAGTGTGAGGGGTGAGGAGAGGTGATGTTGGTCACAAGAGTAACATTGCGCTCAAATTATATTAAAAGTACTAGTAACATATTAAAAGGGCCATTGTGCCGGAAAACCGCGGTAGAGGTTGCGAGACAGAATGGGGGCGACGTGAGTCGGCCCTGAAATTTTGAAATAATGCAACTGACGTTTTAATTGGTCAGCTGACAGCCGTCACTTGGCACAGGGTAGTGGACAGTGAATAGATGTCAGTGGTTAGATGTCAGTGAGAAAATATCTGTGGTTATATATCAGTGGACGGATATCAGATGCCAGTGTGCAAATCTCTGTGATTAGATGTCAGTAAGTAGGTCTCGTTTGCTAGAATCTCTCGGCAGATCTCAATAATTGTCAATGGATAGATCTTAGTGGTTCTGTGTCAGTGAGCAGATGTCAGTAGACAGATCTCAGTGGTTCAATGTCAGTTGGTAGACGCCAGTGGTTATATAGCTGTGAACATATGTCATTGGTTAAATGTGACGGGTTATATGCCAGTGGCAGACCTTAGTAATTAGATGTGTGCGGGGAGATATCAATGATTCGGTGTCAGTGAGAAGATCACAGTGGTTCAATACCTGTGGGCAAGTCTTAGTTGTTATATAGCAGTGGGCAGATCTCAGTGGTTAAATGGGAGGGGTTATATGATAGTGGCAGACCTTAGTAGTTTGATATGTGCGGGGAGATATCAGTGGTTCGATGTCAGTGAGAAGATCACAGGGGTGAGGTGTTAGTGGGGTGATCCCAATTCTAGAGAGTGAGCAGATCTCAGACGATAAATTGGGATATCTCAGTGGTTAAATGCCAGCGGTTACATGTCAGTGGTCATATCTCAGTGGATAGATGTCAGTGACTAGTTCCCAGTTGTTAGATATAAGCAAGCAGATCTCATAAGGTAAACGCCAGTGGTCAGTGAGCAGATTTTAGAGGTTAGATGCCTGTGGTCAGTAGGACAGGGAGAGGTGGCTCATGGCATCAACTGATGTCACTACAGTACCTCTGACCCAGGGGACCTAGATTCGATTTCCGAATATGGCAGGGTTTTCGACTCTAGCTGCAGAGCTAGGTCAAATTCAGCCGTCTGGAAAAGTCTTCTAGCGGTCGGCTGCTCTGATCTGTAATTTTCCGTGGTTTCTCCGATCAACACCAGGCGAATTCCCGAGCAGTGCCCTAATAAACAGGCCACGGACCGCACGCGGTCTTTCCTTCCTGTTCCTTGCCCTATTCTCATCCCTTACTTAGACACACTTGCACTCACTACAGTATCACTCATGCCGGGAGACCGTTTGCGAGCTTAGAGCTTGTCCCGGCTGGGGCGGTGCTTCGCTGGTGGGAGATACATTTTACGGAAAACCCTCGCAAGCCGACGGCAGGTCGGTGATGGAACTCGCCATCCACCGGGAGGTCACATCCTGAGGAAAACATGCACTACACTTATGGGAATAATGACCTTAATATGTTACTCTCGAAATCACTAATCAATCAATCAATGGTCTCAGAAGGTAAACGCGCGAGGTTACGAGTTAGTGAGCAGATCGTAGCGGTAAGATGTCAATGCGCAGAGGGCAGTGTGCAGTGGCGTGGGTGGGTGTGGCGTGGGCGGAGGGCTCTGCCCACGGGCCGGCGGGTACGAGACGCTGCAGCCCAGCCCAGCCCGACGTCCGCAGGGGGGAGAGGGGCGGCGGCAGCATAACTCGCAGAATTTATGCCGCGGCGCGGGTGCTAAGCTTTTAAATTCAATTTATGGCCGGCCCACCCGCCACCCCGCGGCTCTCGCTCGACTCGAGAGGACCGCTCCGCCGCTGAGTCTGCTTCCAGCGCCGCGACCGCCGCGGCGTCTGCCTCCGCCTTCGCCTTCGCCTTCGCATCCGCCTCCGCCTCCGTCTCCGCCTTCGCCTTCGCTCCGCTTCCACCTTCGCCTCCACCTTCGCCTTCGCCTACGCCTTAGCCTCCGCCTTCGCCTTTGGCCTCCGCCATTAGCCTCCCCCTTCGCTTCCGCCTCCGATCTCGCGCCTTCGCCTTCGCTCCGCCTGCCCACCTTCGCCTCCCACCATTCGCCATCCGCCTTGCCTACCGCCTAGCCGTCCGCCTTCGCATCCGTCTCCGCCTTCGCCCTTCTCGCTTCCGCTTCGCCTCCACGCTCCACCTTCACTTCCGCCTTCGTCTTCGCCTTCGCCTTCGCCTTGCCCTACGCCTTAGCCTCCGCTCGCCTTCGCATCCGCCTCCGCCTCCGCCTCCGCCTTTGCATCCGCCTTTCGCATCCGCCTTCGCCATTCGCAGCTTCGCATCCCGCCTTCGCCTTCGCATCCGCCACGCCACCGCCTCCGCCCTCCCGCCTCTGCCTCTGGCCTCCGCCTTCGCAGTCACTCCGCCTTCGCCCTCCGCCTTCGCTCCGCCTCCGCCTCTGTCTCTGCCTCCGGGCCTTCGCCATCGCCTGCCGCCTTCGGCCGCCGCCCCTCCGCCTTTGCCTTCGCCTCCGCCTCCGCCTCCACCTCCGGCACTTGTCAAAATGACCAGTCCGGAGATTACCAAGTTAGCACTCGTCCCAGCGGATATCATGAGTGCGAAATCCCGCCAAGCCAACGTGTGAGCAGGGCAATACGTCGGCCACGATATCAGATCAGCATTTGATTCACTGACATGACTATCATTGGTGCTGGATAGGCTAAGCAGTGGGAGATGGTGTGGCTATACTGAAGTAAAGTGTTGTAGAGTGAGGGAAGGGTGTGGAAGTAGAGGAGAGGATGGAAGTGTTGTGGATTGGTAGTGCCATGGGAGGAATTGGGGAATGGGAGTGGCAGTGGGGAGTTGGGAAGTAGAGAGGAAAGGGATGGCATGGCGGGGAAAGGTAATGGACGTGAAGACGAATGAGGAGGAGAGAGACTTGGTTAGGGAGGAGTTAGAGAAGTGAAAGTGACATGGATTAAGTGGATATGGAAATGCGGACTGAGCCAGCTTGGCGGAAGGCAAACTGCGAGGGGGAAGTGACGGGGCGATTGTGCTGGCGGATGGACGTGGAGATAGTGTGGAGTGGCGTGCAGTGAACGTGACTGGGCAAGAGGAGGTAGTGGCGTGGCGCCTTAGAGTGGACGTGTAGAGGCGCAGCCATGAGTGTCCCGCTGCATATGGAGTGAAGCGTAATGGATGTCTGAGTGGAGGAGGTGGGGTTCGCGGCTGGGTTTGGAGTGGGGAAGTAAGTATGCGCGGTCGAGAGAAAAGAGGAAATGCATGGGGGGTAATGGAATGAAAGAGAGCAGTCGTGAGATGGAGAGAGAGGGAGGAGAAAGTGTGGCGTGGGTGAGCGTCGGTGCAGTGCGTGAAGTGGAATGGACTTGAAGTGGAAGGGAGCGGGCGTGGCGGTACGGGCCAGTGACGTGGTCGTGGGAGGGGTAGGGGACGTGGTGGGAATGGAGTGGCGTTGCAGTAGCGTGTGGGTCAAGAGGGGTTGGGAAAAACGGCATTGGCGCGGGAGAGAAGGAAGCGGGAGTGGAAAGAGGGGGAAATTGTGAGTGGAGGGGGAGGGAGGAGGGTGGACGTGGCAGCTGGGAGTAGCATAGCTTGGAGCATGTTAGGGCGTTGGGCGGCAAGACGTTGGGGCGTGGCCTTGCCCGGTAAGGCTGAACGAGGACGTGCTGTGGTCGTTGTCGTGGTCGGGGATGCGACGAAAGCGCGTGGCCCTTGTGAGGGGGACGTGTCGTGTCGTGTTGGGGATGGCGGCGAAGGTCGCGTGGCTTAGTGTGGAGGGGTGTTGCGGACGCAGCGGGTTTTTTGTTCACAGCCCTGGGCCGTTACCCGGGGCAGCGTTTGGGCGCGGGGCCGGGGGGGCGGCGTCGGCCTTCCAGGCCGCGCGTCGTGGTAGCCCTTCAGGATTTATTTTTCGCCGGCCGCCGCCCTCCCGCCCCCCTCCGCCCTTCGGCCCTTCGCCCTTTGTGGCGCTTCTTCCGCCCCCACCGCCCCGTGCTGTCTCCGCCGCCTCGCCCTGCCCCACGACCTCGCTTACTCCGTGCGTCTCCTACAACATCGCTTCCCGCCAGTTGCTTCTTTTTCGCGTTTGCACCGGAAATGATCGAGCCGACGGAATTGGCCTGTATGCGAGTATTTTATTTTTCCAGGTGGGGCAGAAACTTTTGGTCATTATTCCCTTAAGAATTACGCGTGTTGTAGCCGTAGCGGCTGTGTTATTTTGTAGCGTCAACCGGCGCCAACCTACAAGCCGATGTACGGGTTTCCTTCTGACAGGTATCTCCTCTTCTGGCCGGAACCGGCGCACCCGGGACAAGTTCTAAACTTCTGTCTCTTGTCCCGACATGCGTGGTAGGGTGGTGAATGTGAGTTTGTGTGTGTAAAAAAAATGTGAGGATAGAACCAGGAAGAGGGAGGAAAAATATCTCGCGGTTCGTGACACATTTCTTAAAGTATCCTGGCATGTGTGGTAGTGTAGTGCATGTAAGTGTAAGTGTATGAGTCTGTAGGTAAAAAGTGAAGATAGGACGAGGAAGAGGAAAGAAAGATTGCGTGCTGTCCGTATCCCGTTTGTTAGGGTGCTGCTCCGGCAATCGCCTGGTGTTGATCTTAACCATCACAGCCGGGAAGAGCTCTAAGCTCCCCACCGGTCTCCCGCCATGTGTGGACTGAGGTGCATGCTAGTGTAAGGGGAGAGGGTAGGACAAGGAAGGCAAAAGAAAGATCGGGCGTGTTCCGTGGCCCGTTTGTTAGGGTACTGCTCCGGCATTCGCCTGGTGTTGATCTTAACCATCACAGCCGGGAAGAGCTCTAAGCTCCCCACCGGTCTCCCGCCTTGTGTGGAGTGTGGTGCATGCTAGTGTAAGGGGAGAGGAGAGGACAAGGAAGAGGTAGGAAAGATCGCGTGTGGTCAGTGGCCCGTTTGTTAGGGTACTGCTCCGGCATTCGCATGGTGTTGATCTTAGCCATCACAGCCGGGAAGAGCTCTAAGCTCCCCACCGGTGCCCCGCCTTGTGTGGAGTGTGGTGCATGCTAGTATAAGGGGAGAGGATAGGACAAGGAAGAGGAAGGGAAGATCGCGCGTGGTCCGTGGCCCGTTTGTTAAGGTACTGCCCCGGCATTCACCAGGTACTGATCTAAGAAACCACGGAAACTACTCAGAGCAGTAGTCCGCTAGAGTTCTCCTCCAAACGGCGACTGAATTCGTCCTAGCTACGAGTATTTAGTGTAGAAAATCCTACCACCGTCGAAATTCGAACCTATGATCTGCTGGTCAGATGTACTGAACTGATAACAGTTGATGCCCTGACTCACATCGCCCTGTCTTCTGCGTAAGTGATGTTCCATGGATTCTATTGTGTATTATTTTCATCTGGTCACTCTTTATAATGTAACACGTGGCATTTTCTTTCACATATTAATTTTTACAATTTTCTCGTTTATGTTCATTATGTCTGCCTGTTCCCGCTCGTCCTTTTCATACGATTCGGCGTTTTCCGGCCCAGCATTCTGGAAGAATCAGGTGACAATCGATTTGATCCATAAACTGCAAAAACTCTTTATTTTCACCTTACTTTTTAGAAAATCGATGAAAAACATTATCCGAAACACCTTCACAGGTGATCGATATATTTTTCAAATTTTCCCCTCACGGCAAGTTTCTTGACACTACATATGTTTAGACTGATTTTTCTAGAATTGTTTTGAAAGACTTTCAGAAAAAAATGTGTCAATATTTCAAGGCAACTACAGTGCTTAATCTCCATGAATTACTAATGCTGAAATAATTATTTAATATGACAATACCTGCTAGATACGCCATTCTAATTTAGTGATATTAGTAATTATTTAGTTTAATTAAAATAATTTTAAACTTGTTATCATTATTTAAGTATGGGATCTCAATTCCTTAAAAAAACTAATTTTGATTTTGTATATCTGCTTTCAGAATGCTTATTATAAGTTTTCTATTCTTCCCCTATTACATTGAACCACGAAATGTTTTGCTGTGTTTTGTAATATGGAAAATAAATCACGCAAGTGCGAAGATCTTTCCTGTTTTTGCATTTTTGATGCGTCTACAATTGATTTGGGAACTTATATTTTTGTAATTTTATCACTACAGACAATCTGAATTGTCTCTTCATTCGACTAAAGAACTATAATTAGTATTATTATAATGTGACAAACTACTTTCCATTGATAATTTCTCCTTATCCCCTTTGTCGAACTCATTTCTGATATTTCTCTTTTCGATAAGTTATCTTTTCTCAACTTCCGGTTGATTGAATTTATTTATAAAACTTTTATTTGTTAATCGCTTCTTCATATAATCTCCCTTTTTATTCCTTGTTTGAGATTTCTCTCCGCGTTTATTTTTGGGGAATTTTTTTTATTCTCTTATGTTATTTTAAGTTTATTTTACTTATTTTTTCACATTTTACGTATGTTTAGTATCAATTTTTCTTAAACATATTTTTACCTCCTACAGAGCGATTAAATATTATAATCACAATATCTTGGGTAGCAGTATAGGAGCTCACCTCTTTTTCTACATCCTATGTGTATTCCAAAGTAACTTACTACTTTACCTCAGCCTTCTCAGCCATGAAGCATTTTCTCCACGAACTGGGGGAGCGGAGGCTTACAAAAGTTCAACATGCGCTCGCAGAGTGCGTTGCGATCGCGGTAAATAACTTATAATTAGGGCCCACAGCACAGCCGTCGTGAAGGGAACTCTCAACACTGCACCCCCGTAGCACAAATACAGTTTCTGTGCGAACTCCCTTTTCTCACTTTTGTGCCTGTTTTTGAGGTGAAAAAGTGTTCGTTTTGATTTTGTGTGTACAAATAATAACTTGAATTGCTGATACTTACAAGACGCGCCAACTAATGGATAACCTCAACTACGTAGGTCATTTTCCCCGTAAGTATCATGCGTGTTATGTCCCTAAAATTGGAGGGGTTCCTCCCTTTTTTTATATTTAAGGTCGCATCAACTTCTAGGTCATTAGCGGCGACTAGTTCTTGTAACGGTATGGTAACTATGATGATGTCACGATGTGATATTTACAGATTCCTCCCCTATTGTAACGTGAGATCCGGTGCAAACCTTCACGTTCGCTTCCGGGGATTCGTCCTTCAAGTGTCTCAGCCAATAGAGGATTGCCTCCGTAGCCTTGATAAACTCTAAGCTCTCGACACTATCTCCCGTTATGTGTGGTAGTATGGTTCAAGAGATTGAACCACGCGGCGGCGATGGTGTAACGGTTAGCGTACTGGACCCAAGTTGGCGGGTTCAAACCCGATCGAAGCCGTGGATTTTTAAGGGCGAAAAAATCCTTCGCCTTCCTTCGGAGGGGAAGTAAAGCCGGCTGTCTCATGTTCGTAGATTTACTTGCATGTAAAAGATCCTCAAGCCTAAATGACGCCTCTGAGCTAAATTCAAATCGCCTGTTTCTCGCCCAAGAAATACCTCCTTTCTCTCCTAGTTGGTGGAAGGAGCGTAGCGAAATTTGCGTGGTCAGACGGAAGAGCAGGCTTCATGGCCTGAGTCTCGCCACGTAAAATAAGGCATTAATTCAATTCAATTCAACCACACTACCAAGTTCTTTCGTTTCAAGCGATAGATAATGTGGATGATAATGATAACGAATAGAAACCACGGAAATATGCGTGATGCGAACATCTGCCTGCTGCAATTCTCCTTCAGACACCAGCAAAATTCTACCTAGCCATGTAGCTAGTGTCGAAAGGCCATCTTCCCTACTCGATCCATGGATCTTTCGGCCAACTGCACTGCAGAGACAACGGAATTACCGTTAAGCTATCTGATCTGGATTTCCGGTTAACATAAGTTCGGAGATGCACAGGGCGTGGGAGTAATAAACATGTAATTCTGGTAACGTCGATTCCAGAGATGGGGCGTAGATGAGCATTTGACGATAAAAAAAACACCACTAAAAAATAAATTACAAAAAAACAAATATTTTTCGTATAATTTTGTTGTTGTAGATTATCTTAATTATTTAGATGTTGATTTCAGGTATTATCATAAAAAGTATGTAAACATTAATAGGTAAATCGTACATCGTTGTGATGCGATATAACATTGTAAATATAAAACATTAAATCGCTGTGGTATAACGGATATTGTGGCTTATTGGAGGAATTTCACAAACTATAACTACTTTTAATTTAAATTCAACTTTTACAGCTTAAAAATCCCTTTTAAATACATTAGATCTTTACTCAAAGACAAATGCCGATAAGAAGGCAAAAAGTAGTTCATTTCTTTTTCCTTCACGTTTGTTTTTATGACGAAATTAGACCCAGAATTAAAGACCTAGGACGCCCAAAACGTGTACTGAAGCCATAAAATTTCAATTTTACGGGAAATAAATAGTCCATAAAACGCATCTCTAGAGTTGAGTGAACAAAAAAAATGAATTTACCTTACCCAATTATTTCAAAAAACTCTCAAAAGCGACCCTTTTATGCTGACTGGAGTACACAAAAGATTTTTGTACACACTGTAGCATTTTTCACCAGGATTAAGTGGTGAGAGAGTGGAGATCTATGGTGTAATTGTAAATTAACGGGAATGTTCGAATGTTGATTTCAGAAATGGCAATCATATGTAGGTATAGGTAAACGATATGAAACATCAAATCTTAGTATCCGTGGCGCATTAATATCAAAGTTTTAACAATATTTACGTTTGGCTGAATATTATTTAAAGACATGTTTCTCTTTAATATTTCATAATAACTTCTACTCAAAGATAAATGTCAAAATTAAGGCGAAAACAATTCGTTTGTTTTGCCCACATGACGTTTGTTTTCATGACGAAGTTATGATCACAATTAAAAACCTAGGACGCCCAAAACTTGTGTTGGCCCAGGTCATAAAATTTCAATTTTTACGGGCTATAAATTGCTCATAAAACGCATCTCTAAAGATGAGTGTACAAAAAAAAATTAATTTACCTCGCCCAGTTGTTTCAAAAAGTCTCACAAAAGCGGACCTTTCCATGCCGACCGGAGTATACAAAGGCCTCTCTCTCTCTCTTTCCCCCTTCCCTCTCTCTGTCTCTCCACTCTGCACCATTTTTCGCCAGGATTCCGTGGTGAGAAGCCGGCTTACCGCCTCGAGGACGAAGTTCGGCGCGCGGCCGCCGCGCGCGTTGCAGTCGCTGTAAATAATAACCAGCAATTAGGCCGGACTCCGGCGCGGAGTAGATAAATAAAGGAGCTAGGCGCTGGAGGCGGCTGCTGTGGTAAATTCTGTATGATAATGACCGCGGAAAAAGGGTTCCGTAATTTGTGGCTCTATCTTCACGGCGGAGTGAGATTCAAATGTTACCTGGAAGCACTTGCGAGTTCAGAAGGCCTTGCCTGTTGGGGGAAAGTTAATTGTGGGGCTTGGGCGGCATTTCCTTCCGATTCGTTTGGTATTCATTGTTTCGGAAGTTTGTTGAAGTTAATTTCAAAGTTGTTTATTCTTAGTTTTTCGTGTGTAAAATGAATTTTTGCGTAAATTCCTCTTTGTTTTGTAGAGAAGTTTGATTTGCTTAGAATACGTTTTCCCATGCCAGACGTTCAAATTATTATAATATTTGTCTAGGATTTGTAGCTTCCGTAACAGATCGGTAATATTTTATTTTTGACTGAAATCGTAAAAGGGATACAATTTGTTACTCTATCATCACGAGTTTAGAAGACCTTGATTTTTGTTGGAGTACATAGAGCACATTTGCTTTGCTTCATATTGTATTCATTGTTACCAAATCTTAGAAAGTGAATTTGAAAGATTTTTAAATTTATTTTTTGTGTGCGAAGTAGATATTCACTTCTTTTTTGTATGAATTTGTCGATTGTTGAACGCTGTGGCTAAGACAAGGAAGCATCATCGCATAGGATTCCTTTATCAAATCGAGATAGTCTCACAGTTATTGTATTCTTGGACCTCTGATTTACGAAAAACCTTTTTGTAATAATTTCTTATTGACTGGAAGCAGTAAAAGCCTTCCGTAATTTGTGGCTTTATCTTCAGGGCGGAGCGAGATTCAAATGTTACCTGGAAGCACTTGCGAGTTCAGGAGGCCTTGCCTGTTGAGGGAAAGTTAATTGTGGGGCTTGGGTGGCATTTCCTTACGGTTCCATTGGTATTCATTGTTTCGGAAGTTTGAGGAAGTTAATTTCAAAGTTGTTTATTCTTAGTTTTTCGTGTGTAAAGTACATTTTTTTGCGTAAATTCGTTGTTCTTTTGAAGATAGCGACTCATAGAAATAAATTGTTACTCTATCTTCGCGAATTCAGAAGACCTTGTTTTTTGTCAAAGTTTTTTATTGTTAGTATTTTGTATGCAAACTAGATTTTTGCACAACTTTTTGCATTGTGATGTAGATGGTGACTCAGAGAAACAATGTTTGCTTAGACATTTTCGCTCCCACCATGTGCCACAATTTTGTACCACTATCAATTTGTACCGCGTATAAAATCTTGAGGTTGGAAGTTGTAAATTCTGCTGAGAAAGAAACTACAAGAAACTAAAATCCGGAAACGCTTGTTTTTTATGTCACCTGTCAAAAATAAGTCAGAACACAAGAGTTAATATTGCTACCCTCAGGTAAAAATCACCACATCACTCATATTATGAATCAAACTTGCAATACAAAATTTTACAAATATATCAATATATTAATATCTTATGTAGTAGGTACCTGGTTATCTTCTCCGCTTGTTAGAGGTGTGAAAGATTTTTCTTTGAATTTTCATGAAAGCACAAGCGTAATTTATAAGAAAATGGACCCAAAAGATGCAAAGTTGAAGGATTTTAAACGTCACTGAGGGATATAGGAAAATGAGTCCACCAAAAGAGTGTAAATTTTTGAAAACACGAAAGGTACCCGGGTAACTTTCCAGTCACAGGGTTAAACATCAGCAATTCTTCTTCAAAAATACTTAATACTCGTACATTATTACGAGATAAATAAAATTCTCTGTTAGTAATTTGTTTTCACTGGATAAGCATCGTTGCTTCTATTGAAAAGAATAATGAAATAATGATGGATTACTGAACAGCAATCGTTCAGAGAATTAATGTACAATTACCGAATTCAGTAATTCTAAAATAAGTTAATAAAATTTTAGTCTTATTGACACTCCCTCCATAAGTGATACTTTCCCTTATGTGTATTTTAGATGATGTACCTTTGAAATATAATAATGTTGAAGCCACTAAATGTCAAATACATCGAGATACTAAATATGTGTTTTTGAAAAAAGATGCTGAAAAAAGGTTTTGAAAATAGGTCATATTCTAACAATAGGGAAGCGGCAGCAATAGCAAATCAAAACCGGCTTCTGATTTACGCTACTTTGAAAGAAGAAAAAAATGGTTCCATTATTACCTCCAAACAATGGATACAACTTCTGAAAAGAATGTAGGAAATAAAATAACGTTAAAATAAGTTCTTCTTTTTTTTCATTCGTCCTGTTAAAATAAAATACTTTGCAGGATTATAATAATTTCTCCATCCTTCAAATGCGAGGAAGGAAACTTGCGATTGGCTGTTGATTGAGTACAATTTCGATATCCAGTACATTTGCCGCACTATCTACGACTGAGCATTTCCTAAAGGTCCCCGAAGTGCTGTACATCATCCAGTCGATCTATCGACGAGAAGTTTCACGAACGAGTTTCACGGTTCACTACGCGAAGTGGGACAAAATGCCGAAGTCGTAAGCGAAAAAAAGATTTTGACAACAGATTAAGCAATGGATTTTAACAATTATCTGAGACTCCTTTCCTGCGATTTCAATGAAAAATCGATATAGTTCCATTCTTAAAAAATAAGTAAATGACAGATAATGATATTCATTGTGTTTGTGAATAATTTATATTTTGCCCTAGTAAATAACATCCATACTACACTACATAGATGAGGCATTTCAGTTGGTAAAAAACACACTAGCGTGTTGCTCAGAGAATACACGAACAGAACTACACCATTTTGGCATCATAAGCATAGATTCCCATAGAAAATTATTTTTATAATTTTTGGATATCGTCTCAACATCGTACGTATTTTGAAGACCTAAAGCATTGTTGTAGACTCGTGATTTTTTATTACCATCATTTGTTATGTACAAGCGCACTACAATTCGTAAAGAAGGCTCAAATTCCAAATAATCAGTTCCTCAATTTTCTTTGCGACTTTCGAAAAAATCCTACATTTTTTTTTCTTTGAAAAGGAGTCATCCTCAGCGTTTCGACTGAACATTCGTACTATTATCTGGGCGTTATATAAGAAATGACATCGTCAAACAATTGTTGTGTAGAAACGAACCTTTTCTCAGCCAAATATCGTTCACATTCACTTGTTCATTTGACAGAGGAAAATACGGTGGGGGACATTGTTTCATCTGAATTAACTCACTTTTATAAGTACTTTTAACTTTTTTACCCTCCCCCCGACAAAAAACCATCTTATAGCATATTCGAGTTTAGCCGTTTTAAAATTTACGTATAATAAATTAGTGTTGAGGACTTGGAAGTTGTCATTCAAAATAACTTCAAGTATGAAATTATTCACTTTCACCTGCTGCTTTCAGCCAGCCCTGCTTTCCCCTTTCAATTTGGTCTTAAATCCAATTGATTGCTTTTAGTGATTCCGGGCGCGTCTACTGCTCAAGCGATTAGTTATGTAAGTGTAGTGCATGTTTATTCTCGGCGTACTGGTGGATGCTGAACTGGTGGTGCTGACCTACCGTCGGCTGGCACAGTTTTCCCCGACGAGGTATCTCTCACTAGCGGGGCACTGCTCCAGGCGGAACTAACACTAAATTCCCAACCGGTCTCATGAGATGTCTGGTTGTGTAGTGCATGTAAGAGTGATTGTGTGTATGTAAGGGGCGAGAAGACAACAAGGAAGAGGAAGGAAAAATAGCTTGTAGTTCGTGACCCGTTTGTTAAGGCACTGCTCCTCCATTCACCTGGTCTTGAATGGAGAAACGACGGAAAACTACCTATCAGAGAAAC